TTTGTAGATAAATTAAAGATGGAGGATGGTCGATGCCTTTGGACAAATGTCTCTAGAGGGTTAAAAACTCTAAGCATATGCAGTTTAAAAAAAAAAAAAACTAGTGTTCTGCCAGTATATTTTTTTTGTGTATAAACTTTTTATCAGTATGTGATAATAAATGATCCCTATTTGCCAGCAAGGAACCCATTTTGGTAAACAAAAAAAATAGACCAACTGCCCCTAAGAATCATGTCATAAGAGATGCCTTCAAATTTAGAGTACATCCGCCAGAGAGGCGAGGAGACAACAGTATGCATGTACAAAATTATCCAGATCTATTAAAATGGTGTGCGAGCAAAAGTCCAGAAGTGGATAAACAACCAGAACTTTTTGCAGCATTTTACAGTAGATGAACGCGAAGAAGATCATGAAAAAGAAGAAGAAAAAATGCCAGAAGAAATTAACATTAACTGGCATTAACTCAAGACAGGCGAAATAATCAGATAAATGTATGATCAGCCACTGGTATCAACAGTAATCAGGCAAAGAAGATGGTGCTATAGTAGGCAAAGCTTTAGGAGATGTGGACAGTCATCAAACAGCCACTGGTATCAACAGTAATCAGGCAAAGAAGATGGTGCTATAGTAGGCAAATCTTTAGGAGATGTGGACAGTCATCAAACAGCCACTGGTATCAACAGTAATCAGGCAAAGAAGATGGTGCTATAGTAGGCAAATCTTTAGGAGATGTGGACAGTCATCAAACAGCCACTGGTATCAACAGTAATCAGGCAAAGAAGATGGTGCTATATTAGGCAAATCTTTAGGAGATCTGGACAATCATCAAACAGCCACTGGAGTGGAAACCACATGGATTGGGGAAATGAGGACATTTGAGAGAAACCTAAATAAAAATCTTGTTGACAGAGGCTGAGAATGCTGGACTGGATTCTGTCTGAGATATCGAAAGGATTGCACAAGACCAGAGTTTTTTTCCTGGTATTACGGAATAACTGTCTGTATTGATGAGTGTCATTTTTTTTAGTACTACTGTAATAGACAGGGAGTTGTTGTGGTGTAGCAGCTAGATGCTCGCCTTTGAATTTAAAGGTCATGGGATTGAGTCCTCAAGGAACCAGGCTTTTTTTGGGTCAAAAATGACCTTGGCTCCCATGGCGGCCAAGCTTTATGGGTACCAGACAAAGTCCTGGGAAGTAAAGGCGGCTGGCAAAATGTTGACCACATCACCCACTTAGTGCCGATTGGTCTATAAAATATAGGTCTAGCCCTATATACCCAATACGCATAAGGGCATGGAAAGGGTATTTTTACTTTAAAAGACATAAATGGTGAGTACCAGCAGTTTTTTTTTTTTTTTACTTTAGAAAAACAACCGTATGCAGGACCGTTAGGTACCTGATCATGAACGGGGGTAAGGGATTGATCTCACTACGCAGGAGTAAAGTGGCCAACAATAGGCAGGTTACTTAAGAGGTACCTGATGAACTGAACATCCATAATTTTCGTTGGCTCTCTGACTGGACATGATGTTCTTTTCAGTTTACAACTGTTTCTCTTGAAGCCTGCTAGTTGTGTGATGGTTTGACCTGGCATTCCCCAGAAATGGCGAGCAAGCCAGGTCACATGTATACAGGTCGGCTTAGATTTATATTGTGTTTGATGGTGCTGATTTTGTTTGGTTTTGAAATGCAGAGGAGTAAACCAGAGATAATCTAGTAACAATTAAAGCATTAAAATGGAATCCCGCAGAAAAACATAAAAAGTATTGATCTGATTTGGGTATATGAGGGGGATGTTTATTTATTATGCTTGTTGTTGCAGAAATGACATTATGCAGATTTGTATAATAATTATTATAAAAGGTTATCATCACGATCTATACAATATTTGCATTAATTCTTTGAGTCCCAGAGGGTTTAACATCACAGGCCCAAGGGTTAGTCAAAGGACACGTAAAATCGGCGCATCATGCGTTCATTGGGCTTCTATACAGCAACCTATGAACATATGATGCGTTCCTTGGGACTCAAAGAGTTAATTGTGTTCATTGTTCATTTTAAAAATCATCTTCATTGCACATCAGACCTGACCATAAGTGCTCCGATCTCCTCCTGAGTTTGTTCCCAAATTGTTTAAGGCTAACAACTTCTATTCTGTTCGAGTTGATGTAACGATAAGTGGCCCCTGTATGGTTTTCCTGTGTCGCAGCCCTGACCCGCACACCCAGGGTATGTAATCTGTTCAGTGAAATATTATTTTTCATGAAACTGAAAGCATCACAGCATTTAGTCTCTCGTATGTCATTAATGGTGCCCCTCCTGTCCATAGAGGGCCCATTCCTGGTAGTTGCACTGTTAGCCAGAATGTCTTCTCTGTCATTGGCTTTCACACCAGCATACCCTGGAACAAAAATGATTTTGCAAAACTCTGCACGTTGTAGCAGATGGAGCCACTGCTTTCGTGTGTGCCCCATCTCCATCTTGTGTAGCTTGCTCATTGAGTCACTGAGCAAACACACTTTGGGAAATTCCTCAGTTTTCAGCCATAATCCTTATTATGAAGGTCAACATCACTATTAATTTGATATTTGCATTACTTATGTGAGTGGATGAAGTGAGTAGGCCATGGATAACCTGGCACTAGATTTGTTTCTGTGTTCATGTTTCTGTGTTCATGTTTGTGATGTCATTGAACCATGTGTGTGTGTGTTAAAAAAATTTGACTGATATTTCATATATGGGAACATGTAACAAACTCGTGCCCAGCTACACACTTATGAGGGATGAAGTCGGGCCTGGACACTGTGATTGGACGCTCATTCATGTGTGTTTACCTTTGTGATGCCAAAGTTTAAGTGGCAGTGCTACTGCTACTGAAAATCCTAGACGGCTGTCATATACCAACCAACAAACACTAATTCTGCAAGTGAGAAGGCATCCGCTGCTCACAAAATTAAAAAATAAAACTCGCAATGAAAAAAGCTTTGTGAACACAGCAGTACACCACGACACCCCTCTAACCCTGAGCAACGTTGACCAGGGTGAGCAAGCATGAATGAAAGGTCAGCTAGTATGTAGATGGGTCCGAGTTCATTATAAAGTAATCATACTTGTATAATTATTACATTATGTCAAATAAATTAAGACTTTTCTACACTCACATATTACAGAATCAGTTTTCCTTTCGAATAAACATACATATGTGTAAAACTCTGTTGCTGATGTTTCATAAACAGTTTGCTTTCACCTCTGTCTGTCTGTCTGTCTGTCTGTGTTTCAGCTGTACATTTTCAGAGCATTTGTTGCACTTGAAATGAGAGGACAATATATGATCCATTGACAAAGTAAATAATTATGGAACGATAAGAGACGGATGATAGAAGTGATCAAACAGTTTGGCTGGAAGACAGCTCACCCAGTAGATATCAGGTAGCCTATGGTCATGGGTGTCCTTTGAGGTCTCAGAGTAGTTATAGATCACAGGTGGAGTACAGGTCTCTGAGAGTAGTTATAGGTCACAGGTGGAGTACAGGTCTCTGAGAGTAGTTATAGGTCACAGGTGGAGTACAGGTCTCTGAGAGTAGTTATAGATCACAGGTGGAGTACAGGTCTCTGAGAGTAGTTATAGATCACAGGTGAAGTACAGGTCTCTGAGAGTAGTTATTGGTCACAGGTGGAGTACAGGTCTCTGAGAGTAGTTATAGATCAGAGGTGGAGTACACGTCTCTGAGAGTAATTATAGATCACAGGTGGAGTACTGGTCTCTGAGAGTAGTTATAGATCAGAGGTGGAGTACAGGTCTCTGAGAGTAGTTATAGATCACAGGTGGAGTACACGTCTCTGAGAGTAGTTATAGATCACAGGTGGAGTACAGGTCTCTGAGAGTAGTTATAGGGATCACAGGTGGAGTACAGGTCTCTGAGAGTAGTTATAGATCACAGGTGGAGTACAGGTCTCTGAGAGTAGTAGTTAGGTCACAGGTGGAGTACAGGTCACTGAGGTGGTTATAGTCACAGTACAGGTCTCTGAGAGTAGTTATTGGTCACAGGTGGAGTACAGGTCTCTGAGAGTAGTTATAGATCACAGGTGGAGTACAGGTCTCTGAGAGTAGTTATTGGTCACAGGTGGAGTACAGGTCTCTGAGAGTAGTTATAGATCACAGGTGGAGTACAGGTCTCTGAGAGTAGTTATAGATCACAGGTGGAGTACAGGTCTCTGAGAGTAGTTATAGATCACAGGTGGAGTACAGGTCTCTGAGAGTAGTTATTGGTCACAGGTGGAGTACAGGTCTCTGAGAGTAGTTATAGATCACAGGTGGAGTACAGGTCTCTGAGAGTAGTTATTGGTCACAGGTGGAGTACAGGTCTCTGAGAGTAGTTATAGATCACAGGTGGAGTACAGGTCTCTGAGAGTAGTTATTGGTCACAGGTGGAGTACAGGTCTCTGAGAGTAGTTATTGGTCACAGGTGGAGTACAGGTCTCTGAGAGTAGTTATAGATCACAGGTGGAGTACAGGTCTCTGAGAGTAGTTATAGGTCACAGGTGGAGTACAGGTCTCTGAGAGTAGTTATAGGTCACAGGTGGAGTACAGGTCTCTGAGAGTAGTTATAGGTCACAGGTGGAGTACAGGTCTCTGAGAGTAGTTATAGGTGGAGTACAGGTCTCTGACAGGTGGAGTACAGGTCTCTGAGAGTAGTTATAGGTCACAGGTGGAGTACAGGTCTCTGAGAGTAGTTATAGATCACAGGTGGAGTACAGGTCTCTGAGAGTAGTTATAGGTCACAGGTGGAGTACAGGTCTCTGAGAGTAGTTATAGGTCACAGGTGGAGTACAGGTCTCTGAGAGTAGTTATAGATCACAGGTGGAGTACAGGTCTCTGAGAGTAGTTATAGATCACAGGTGGAGTACAGGTCTCTGAGAGTAGTATAGATTGATAGGTCTCAGAGTAGGACAGGTAGTACAGGTCTCTGAGAGTAGTTATAGATCACAGGTGGAGTA